CCCTCCACATGCCACCAGGCGCCTCTTCCTCACTGCCTTTTAGCTTAGGCTGTGTCCTCTGCCCAAAGGCTGGCCCTCCGTTCACGGGTCACATCCCTCCTCTTGGAAGCCTCCCTGACTCCTGCTCCCTGCAGGGGGGTCAGTGAGTAACTGTCCTCTCCCTCCCCGCTCCTTGGTCCAGATAGGATGGAGGCAGAGCAAGAGGATGAGAGAAATAAAAAACAGAAGGAGGGGCCGAGCCTGTGGCGCACTCGGGAGAGTGCAGCGCTGGGAGTGCAGTGACGCTCCCGCCGTGGGTTCAGATCCTATATAGGAATGGCCGGTGCGCTCACTGGCTGAGTGTGGTGTGGGCGACACCACACCAAGGGTTGCGATCCCCATACCGGTCACGAAAAAGACAAAAAACCCCCCCCAAAAAACCAAAAAAACAAAAGGAGGTGAAAGTATGTAGTAAACAAAGATGAGGAAGCGGAGGGGCGGGCTGGATGCCTCAGCCGTGGCCCTGGCCAGTATTGCTTGCTCGCCCTGCCACATTCTGGACTCAGGAACTGGGGAACAAAGTCATGAGAGAACCAAGCTGCGAGGGTCTGCTTTTTGGGAAACTCAGACCTGGAATTCAGCCGTCGATGTTCTTTCGGTCAAGGACTCTTCCCTGTCTTAAGTTACTCATGTGAGGTCAGAGCCTTCCCCAAGAGCAAGGCTTTGCTTTTGTTTTGGGGGGTGAGGGAGAGTGTGAGCCCCCAGAGGCTGAAGGAAGAGGGGGGTGGAGGTGCTAGAGAAGACCTCTGCTTCCCTTGGAACCTCCCATGAGGCCATGAAAGAAGGACCTGGAAGGGGGCGTGCAGGGTGTGTGTGAGGCAGACACGGCTGAGTTTTCTCAGACGCCTGAAAAGGGAGAGAGATTGGGGCCACAACGGACCCCGGCCCCCCAACACAGAGTGCTGAGTTGCTGGGCCTGCCAGCCCCGAATTTGTCCACCCTTCTAGGCTGCAGCAGACTGGGAGCCTGGAAGCCAGGAAGCCAGGAAGAGGGGAGCGGTGCTGCGGTTTGAGGCCTGGAGGCCTTGCTGGAGGCCTACTTGGCTGTGGAAGCCTGAGCTGCTGGCCAGGCTGTGAACGTGCACGTGTGTGTCCAACTCATACCTTTAACAGAAGGAGAGACAGGCCTAGGCACCCCCTCAAAACATGAGAGCCTGTCACCTCCTGCCTTCTCCAACCTCTGTTCCAGGGACTGGGTCCCCTCCTGGCCACCCAGTGGCCAACAATGAATAAGTGAGTCAGCAGGCTTCACCTAGGGACTTCTGCGGGGATGTGAGACCTTGAGGGGGAGGGGCTGACTTCATTGACCTGAAGAGGGACATCAGTGCTGGGAGTCAGAAGACTGTGGATGTGTAATTTGGGGTAGGGGTTTCCCTTCCTCACTCTGGGCCTCAGTTCCTGGTCCCTGCACCCACCGCAGCCACCACCGGGCAGCACTTGGCCTTAACTGCTTCTTGCATACTGAGCTTGGCACCCGCGTTATCTCCCCTACTTCCACCACTCGATGCCAGGGAGATATGACTGTCCTGTTTTCTGGAGGAGTCAACTCAGGCTTAGAGCCGTCGAAACTCGCTTAGGGTGTCAGCGACCCAGAGCTCCGGGGTACTGGGGCTTCCCTGCCCGGGTCCTCCCTGCCTTGTCCACTTGCCCCGTGGCACTTCTCGGAGGTGCTAATGGAGTGGGAGGGAGCTGGGGGGGACAGTGACCGCCAGTAACCCCGGCAGACGCCGGCGCCGAGCGGGTTAAAGGCGGACGCCCGCGAGTAACCCCGGCCCCATTCAGAGCCGCGGGTCGAAACCCGAGCCGCGGCCGTCCGGGGGGGCGGGGCCGGG